TATTGTCTTCCAGCCTTAATCTCTGTGAATGAAAACTATTTCTGACTGTTCCCATGAGAGAGTGATTTGAAGCATACATTCAGCTAAAAGTGATTTTTTCGTCATCAGTCCCTTGAAATGCTTTTTCAACTTTATTTCCAGAATTAGTACTACACATTTTCATGTGTATAGTATGTGAGTGACCCTCTACTGAGGTGAATGTTGTAATCTGAAGTATGATTTACAGTTTGCAATAAAACATTCAGCGTCGTTTGTTTGATCTTTGCTTCTTCAGCTGGATATTGTCTGTCTGTCATGGTTTTTCTTTTTCATCCCATAAAATTCTAATAATGTGTTTAAAAGATGTTTAGTTTGAGGGCAGTGAGAGATTTGCAGACCAAATTTTTATTCCTCTGTGGAAATACAGTACTTTGTCTTTTCCAGAAGTGAATAATCATCTTGCAATTACATGGAATGTTTTTGTGCTACTTGAAAGCTCACATTAATAAATTCAAAAGCATCAGTTTCTGCAGTAATGAAAAGATAGCAAAGATGAAATTCATGTCAGGGAAGCCCAGGTCCTTTTCTGAGCCCCTGAAATACAGGAGAGACAGGACCTGTTAATATTTTTGTCAAAGGAATTTTCTTCTGACAGATTTTAGACCTCACAGTTCAAAACCTTACATAACGAAATTCAACTACTTGGGGGAAAAAAAGGATTACCAGGGTGAGTGGTGTTTATCTCAGTTACCTTTCTGTGTTCTCTCTTCTTGGCTACTGACAAGATCAGTTTTTGATATTCCACAACCCAACTTCCATTTCAGTTTGTCTTATATAAATAATTCTAGTGCCTGCCTCAGCTGCGACTGTTGCTTTCATAAGCCATGTCATTTATACTGGCATGCCTTTTTCTGTCATCTCAGACATCAGTTCTAAGTGGCAGTAGAAAAACTCAACAACATAACAACAGTTTTCCAATTTGTTGCTCTTTTCCAGAGCAGAAGGTTCCTGGAGATGAAAGACACTTCTTATATTTTTATGTGGGCACTTACCTTTGCAGTGGTAAATTAATATCAGTTTGCTGAAGGTGTCTTAAGCTCAACACTGTAAAGAATTTTTTTATATTTCCAGTTCTGCATTTTCTTTAGGCATTTCCACATTCGTAAGTTTTTTTTGGGCTTTGGTGAGTTCTTTCTCCCAGATTTCTCCAAGGCAAGGCCTTTTTTGGTTATATTACAGTAATTCTTCACTGCGGCTGTGACAAGTAGAAAAGATGAAAAGCAAGAAAGGCAAACAGCAAGGCAAATGCAAAAAGCTAATTTTATGGTTCGAAATAAAGCAAGATTACACTTATGTATGTTTTGGGAACAGGAATTTAATAAAAAGTTGCAACTTGGTGTCAAATCCAAGGAGCCAGGTTAAATGTGATAACATCCAACACTGTCCTGAAGGTAGGAGAGATAGGTTATGCATGACCATATGTCTGGTTGTACACTGCTTTATGAAAGACTAGGTGGATAGTGAACTGATGTGGTGCTTTTATATAGTCGTATCTAGAATACGACATAGAGATGGAAGATGCTTTTTCTGTGTGTGACACTTAAAGATTTCCAGTAAAAGAACCAATAAAAATTGAGTATCAGTTTAAATAAAATAACAACAACAACAAAAAAAAACCCAAACAAAAAACCCACACCAATAATAAAATAATAAAAATTGAGTAGCAGTTTATGTAGCACAAACATTAGATAATTAAACAGGAAGAGATAAATGAAAACTCATATTTTGTAATGTGGAGCAGAGGGCTGTAGGACTACAGTTAGTGTGCTGAATAATATATAATTCCTATTCTAGTAGTAGTTTCCTTGATGAAAAATTATGGATGGTAATTTCCTGGCATTCCTCTGCTATGTATTAAAATTTCTAAAGTTGCCTTTCTTTATCAGTCTAATATAGATGCTTAGCTGAGTGAGTGATTTTGTAATCTGTCTCACAAAATGCAGGTTAGAATGGAAGACCCACATTTTTTTCTGTCTCTTAAAATAGTTTATCACTTGTATAGCTGTCTTCTCTTGATACTGTGTGCTCTTTAGTAGTGTCTGCCTTTGTTTTGCAACTACAAGTGTGAGTTTATTGCTTAAGCAATGTGTCCTGGTAGTGTACTATAGTGTACCCCCGTCATATTTAAATCTCAGCCTTCGGTGTTATTTTAGGAGAACAGTGAGTAATTTGTGCCAGGACACCCTCTGTCGCCACTTGGGCATACTCTCCATTTCTGTCACCTGTTAGTGACAGAATATTTTCTTGCACTCTCAGGATGGTTAGCTGTGAGGACATGTAATCTGAGACAAAACCCATGCATCAAGGCAGTCCTGCTGGCGTGCTTTGTCCATGGCCATGAAGGTCATGAGCCACAAACCATTTCTTACCGCTACATCAGCTTTTATGGTTTTTTTCTTCCATCTTTTGGTAAGCAATAGGAACCATTGGATTTATAGGTATAATGGGGCACATCGGAGCTCTTGGAGCTATCAGCTTCTGCAAATTGCAAAGGCATGGATAGTTCAGAGCTACAGATCACAGGACTGAGGTTGACTTTAGGTGGGAGCAGAATGGTTGAACAAGATGAAAAAAACTTTAGAGAAATCATCTGAGCAACCTGGTGTAGTGGAAGGTGTCGCCACCTGTGGCAGGGCGGTTGGAATTAGATGATTTTTAAGGCCCCTTCCAACCCTTTTCACTGTCCCTTTAGAGACGGGTCAGGCTTTGCTGACCTGTTCCTAACAGATTTTTGTTGCACTTACTTTTAAAATTTACCCCCCATCAGTGAAAGTTTTATAACTGCTAGACTGTTAATCTATTTCGCTTCCTTAATTATGGTTGTTAAGATACCTGTATAAATACCATTTCCTTTCATTTTCTCAGTACCCTGTATGCATCTGGAGATGGCTATGTGCTTTTCTTCTCTACATGTTTTATTCCAATTTTTGCAATAACAGACTATGAACTCAACTTTCTTTATGTGGTCTCTTTAGCTAGGGATGAGCTAATTACTTTTAATTCAAAGCAGTAGCTCTGTTCCTTCAAGACAGGAGAATTTGCTGGAATTATTGGCTGCAGATGTAAAGGCTGTCTTGCTATGGAGAAACAAAGGTGTTACTTGCAATAAATAAACATAATTTGATCTGATTATTCAGTTTTATCCTCTCTTTTCTAACTATATTGATTTTATATTTCTTATAACTATTTAAAACTTTCTTGTGCTTCTTATGACTTCTTTGTGGGTTGTTATCTGTTTTAAAAAACAGTCCTTTAAATCACCACCTACTCTCCTATTTGGTTCATACTTCTTGTAACATATGATGTGAAAATTGAAAAGTGTGTTCTAGGGCAGACCACACTACAATAGAACATTGGGTTTTTTCACATATTTATTTTAGTTTAGTTTATTTTTTCCTCCGGTAGTGTTATGATATTGTCTCATTGTCAGTTTGAGATCCAGTGTAGCCTCTGGATCCTTTTTTTGCACAGCTGCTCTTTAGCTGGTCATTGCCTATCTCTTCAGTTATTAATTGCCTCTAAATACCGTTGTCCCTGTTGAATTGCATCCTATTTGTATTAGATTATTTGTCCAGTTTGTCAGAATTGACTTGCCTTCCAGCAAGTCAACCTCTCTCCTGATTTTCTGTTATCTGTGTTCCCAATCCATGTACTTTATTTTGCCATATAGAAATTCATGAAATGAAATTCTGGATTGCTCCAAGATGAGATCCTGAACCCTCTCTGAAACTGTACTACAAATATACATGTAGTTTAACTGTACTAATTATTCATTCAGCATAATTTTTCCAGCTGTTTTGCACCTGCTCAAAAGTACTTTCATTTGCAACTTACTTTCCTTCTTTATAGATGAGAATGCTGTGTAACCAAAGTGTTACTGCAATAAAGATGTTTTTCCTCTACCCATTAAGCATATTGCTTGATCAGAGAGGAAAACCTTTTGATCTTATATTATTCCTGAGGAGCTGATGTTGCCTTTTGTTTGTTATGTTATCTTGTTAAGTGCTTTATTAAAAAAAAAAAATCTACTTGTACTTGTTCTGGTATTTTTGAGTGTTCTGAAGTTGTGTTGACTGGCCTGTGAATTTCTGAATTTACCTTTCTCTTCTTCATAAAGACAAATATTTTTTCATTTTCCTCCTGGATTGGAACCTTACCTGCCATCAGTGAGGCCTCCAAGAAACCTGTTAGAAGCCATTGTGTTATTGGGAAACTTACCTAAAGCATTTAGGGATGAATTCCTTTAGATGTCACAGTGTGAAAAATATGCAGTCTTTGATACATGTTTTTCCTACACTCAAATCTATTCCCTTCACCATTGCTACAGATTGTGTTTTTCTTTATTATACTTAACCTGTTAAATGACAGTAGATGAAAAGAAGGTATTTAACAGCTTTTCAGTGTATGCCATTGATTCTGATCTTAATGATTTGGCAAACTTTCTTTGTAATCCTGTACATTCTTTCCTTTCCTAGTTAGTTATATCTTTTTTTATTTTAATTTCTTGTTTCCAGCAGAATTCCTGCTTGGGCTCTCCCCTGTCTCTTCTAGGCAGAAGATGATGCCAGCAGAACAGGCTATGGCATTGCAGGGCTTCACAGCTATTGCCTTGCTCAGTATGGTGTTTGACTTGCTCAGTTTCCTTACAGAACTCCTGGTTTGGTCTCCTGATTGCTGACTTTTAAATACTTTCTAAAGGATTATCTACTCAAAGAAAGGCACTTTGGAATTTTTAAATGGTTTTACATCCCAGTTTTGAAAAAAAAGGTCAAAACTTCGCTTGCAACAGCTCATCCAAATCTTATCATGTCTCCAGCTGGGCTTCTTAGTGAGTGTACTTTTTAATAATAAAAATAAATGGTAAAACATACTCCTGGAGTAAAGGTAGAACTTCAGTTAATTAAAAGTGAAGCGTAACATACACTAGTGGTTGTATAGGTACGTAATGTATATATGTCTTTGTGTAAACTGTTAGGAATGTGTGCTGTTTATAAGAAAATGCTTTTCAAAACGTCTCTATTAATTGGCTGCTTTTATTTTTACAGCATACACAGCTCAGGCAGAGGAGAAGACAGGCCCTGGTACTCCTACAGATGCTCACGCCAGAGCCTT